CTAACACAGAGGACAATGAACACTGACAAACTTTGCTGGGGTCAGTTTCTTTCAAGATTGACATTTCAATAAAATCACGTCGAAGTTGGTATCAAATATTTGGAGCCTGAAGGCATCATCTTTAGTGGCATGTCATTTAAGAATCAAGCGCAGCTGAGTTTATCTATGCGCCCACCCCGTAATAAAAAGCAAGCATTCCCTAAAAATAATCAGTAAATACAGTCACTTCTCACCCGATTTAATCAAATCTGCCTCTTAAGCGTCTCCACCCGCAGAGCAGCCTCACGAGAGCTGCGAGGCTTATATTAATTGACTGGGGGGGTGTAGTGGGGCTCAGGGAAAAATAAACTAGCATCATAACTCCTGTCCAATTCCTCAATGTCCTTGGTAAATCTTCAGGGGAAAACACAACTTACTGAGTGGCGTATTATCCATTTAAGCCTTCTTGACTGAGTGAGGGTAGAGTGGGTGGGGGGTTGGAGGTTGGGATGTAATAACTCGCAGCTGGCTTTGCTGTGAAAGTGCTATCACACTGGCTGCCTGAGGAAAGCTATATTTAGTGGGTGCTAAGTAATAACTAAGTACAGTGAAATGATCCAGCTACGGTAATGATACAACAAGGTGACAACCAGATATTGTGGGACTTAATTACGTCGGGGGGGCGGAAGCTAGAAGCCACAGTTGTCAGATCTTTGGTCCTTGTTTATTCAACGCTGGTGACTCACTGTCACGTTAACCCGACTCCAACAATATCTTCACACGACGTAGTTACAGAGCCACTTTGTTCTGTGACCTTTCACTGAGAAGCTGATTTTAGTGAAATACCAACCTCAGCATATACACAGAAACATAAGTGTATGTATAAAAACAATACTTTCCTTAAGTCACGTCTTCATGTATCTCCTTTTTAATGCATTCTGCCTCTAACTAAACTTACATGTTCCCCCGTCAAATTAAAGGGTAAAGCCTGAAGCAACATTTGTGTAGTGTCTCGAGTACTTAAGGCCCACCGCAAGGCTTTCACATTTCCCTGACATTTAGATAGATAATGAGTAACAATCTCCCAGTCTTTAAATCCCCTTGTGGATCTTATGGCATTTAAGTCTTTTTTTTCCTTCTCCCGTCTTTAAATATTTGATGAGGAGGATGTTATCTGCACTGGATATTCCTGCCATTGGCTTTGACCACTTCATCATACCTGCTCTCTCCTTTACACTGACCAGGGTACAGTATAATGCTCAAACACCTCCTATCCACATTTGACAGGCATCATTTAAAGTCAAGGTAAAGCCACTTCCTGTTAACAGGCGTCAGGGATAGAGGGGAAAAGATCATGACGGATACCCAGTGGGCCAATACTGATTTCCCTATCAGCGATTCCCTTCCCTGTAATTGGTGCAATTTAAATAATGCAATTGTGCATTTGGTTTAGTGCACATTTTATGGGTTTTCCTAGATGGCAATCTCCCTACAGAAAAACAATTCTTGCTAAATTCTGAGCTAAACCGTAGCAGCTGTTTGTTGACAGTTTTTAAATCAAGAAAAAATCCATAAGCCATTTGTGATGAAATACCAAATAACCACTTAAAACCAATATTTGTTTTAGGTTTTTTTTGCGTTCTCTTTCTCTGTGAGACCTCCGTGATGGTGTAATTCAGAATCCCCCCGGGTCAGGTCCAAGGCAGCGCTTCACAGCTACCTCAGCAGCCTTACACGGCTCACTGCCCGTGGCCATCAGTGCCCGATGGTTACATATTCGATGTGACATATCCTTCCATCTTCGAATGAATTTTTTATGTCTCTTCCTCTCCCACTCACACGCAGCCGGGGCTTGTGTTGGCCCTGCTCTGTAAACCTTTGCTGCTGTAAGTGACAGTGTTGCCTTTAGAATCTGTGACCCCTCTGTGCTGCTATGCTATACATCTACTGTATGGTGCTCACTTATTGGATTGTCCACACTATTTATAATGTTGTGTCAACACATCGGCAAGAACCTTTACATCATTGGAGTAAAATCATGTCAAACCAAAATATCCATGAAATTATTATTTATTATCATACTGGGATTCATGCATGTCAAAAATGTGACCGCATTATGCAAGCTAAAGTCCAATTCGAGATATTTGTTCTCATGGATCCCTGGTCTATGGATTTCACAGAAAGACAAACTTCAGGATTTTACTCTCAGCTAAACTGAAAGTTTGATGCCACACTTTGGCTGTGCACATATCTGACCATGTTACTATGCACTCAGGTATTGACAGCATCATTGATCTTGAGGGTCGGAGCAAAAGATAAGTCAAAGGGGAGTAATGCGATCTAGTAATGCGATCTACTGTTTTACCTTGAAGAAATAACACATTTGTTCTCTACACTTTACTAGTATTTATTCTAAACTCTACACACAGCTACTGAAAAAGCATATAAACCATTTGGAAGACAGTGTACTGTAGCATGGAAGGAATGTCCTGTGAAAATCGTATTGGGTTTTTATAGAATACCTCAAATTCTCCAAAGATTTCTGAACTTAACGCTGTCAGGTCAATGTAAAGGCTGCAGCAGCACAAAGTGAAATACACATACCTGACTACCACTGCACAGGTCAGCTTAACTAACTATTGGTACCAGGAGCTTTTCTTAACTTGGGTTTCAAGGCACATGGAACCACAACTATTGGCTGACTTTCAATATGGACGCCACTTGATTGGCAGCCAAAAGGTCAGTTGAATAAAATAAGTTTTGGACACTATTGACGGTAGCTTAGTTATAAAATAACGATAACCCCGCAGAGTGGGCAGGATGATTAGCTAATTGCTTTAGCTACGCCGTGTGAAATTGCACTGTTGTCATTTTCAACTTGACACTCGGAACATCAATTTCCGGCAGTGGCTCAGTCAGTAGGGGCTTGGACTGTGAGCTGTAGGGTCGCCGGTTCAAGTCCCCGAACAGACTTACAGTATGGAGTGTGGACTGGTACTTGGAGAGGTCCCAGTTCACCTCCTGGGCCCTGCCGTGGTGCCCTTGAGCAAGGCACCGGACAACCCCCCCCCCCCCCCCCCCCCCACTCCCATTGCTCCCTGGGCGCTGTGCAATAGCTGCCCACTGCTCCTAGTACTAGGATGGGTTAAAAGCAGAGGCCAAATGTCACTGTGTGTGTTGTGTGCTCTGCATGTGTGACCATTAAAGAGGGTTTCATCCCTCCCAATTCTTCTTCTTTCAAACGGAGGAAAATCTGCACTTCGTCAGTTGAACGCCATAGTGGACGCCATGGTGCGTTAGCTTTAGGTTGGTGCAGAATGCCCCAATTTAGTGCTTCTAACTATTATCTTTGACCAATTGGTTGTATGGAGTGTTTTAACTCCATCTTCTAGTTTCGACTCAGCACACTAGGAACCGAAAAAAGTACAAGGTAACCTGTACCGAGGCAGTAGAATGAGAAGATAACATAATACAGCGAGGGCAATTTTCCATTTTTTTTTAGTTTGAATATGGAAAAGGGGCTACAGACATTGTAAGCCTGTTCCATAGACTGTATATATAAAGGCCTGTTCAGATAAAAGTGCTGAGGGATCTTGAGCAGGGGAAGAGGACTTGGCAGAAAACAATGACTTCCCTGTTTATAATTGTTTCCTGGAAACCCCATAGTCTGACTGCTGGGTGTCTGCAACACATCCAGGTTAGGTGAATTGAAACACTAAGTGCCCAAAGAGTTGAGATGTGTGTTAGCTCTGTGACAGATTTGCGACCTTTCCGGGGCATAGACCAGCTTCTTTACCAAGGCATGCTGGGACAGGCATTGCACAAGAGAGAGATGGATCATTTTGATAAAGCTTGTGAAAGTCATAGGAATAAAACCCTGAGTTTCACAAACCCTGCATCCCCCTCTTACAGCTGGCGCCCCTTGAGAATCACAAAATCTACCTTTCAGCAAGTCGCCGAGCTGTGTTTGCTGACAAAAAAAAAAGAGAATGGAAAAGAACGGCTGCTTTGCACAGTGCTTGACGTTCCGATATAACTGGTGTTTCCTTCACTTCCCTGTGCAGAAGGAGCAGTGCGATGGGGATGTGCCTTTCATTCCTCAAAGTGACAGTTCACCATTGATCATTTATCAAGCTGGGTGCTTGCCACAGCTATTGATTGAATGGAGAGAGCTGGTGGGTGGGTGGGAGTTGGGGGGAGGGAATAAAATAAGACTTGTGGAAGTGATGTACGCTCCTTAGTGAACACACGAGCAACAGCGCCTGATGAAATTCAACACTTTGTTCTCCGCTCAGTGTTGTTGATGAGCGCCTGTATGAGGAGGCAGAGTGTAAATGTACGTGGCAGAAGGGAATTGTGTGTGTGTGTGTGTGTGTGTGTGTGTGTGTGTGTGTGTGTGTGTGTGTGTGTGTGTGTGTGTGTGTGTGTGTGTGTGTGTGTGTGTGTGTGTGTGTGTGTGTGTGTGTGTTGTGTGTGTGTGTGTTGTGTGTGTGTGTGTGTGTGTGTGTGTGTGTGTGTGTGTGTGTGTGAGAGTCTCAAAGCATGCCCGCGTGTGTCATCATGTGGTCCTGCCTTTTTGCACGTGTGGCTCGTTCTGACTTCTTAAACTCCAACAGACTGAAGCCTCTTGTGTTCTGTGTGGCGGCAAAGGTCTGCAGAGGAGCATGCTGGGATATTGTGCCCGGGTTAAGTGTTCCAGAATCTAATCACTCTAATGTGTGTTGCAGCTCTAAATCTCCCTCACTGGGCTGCACTGCAACGCTTCAGAAAAAAGGGGGAAGCTTTTCACGACTCCTTCCATATTGTAATTATTCCAACTGGATATGAGCTATTGCACTTATTGGCTGGGGCAAGACACCGGCTGTTCCGCCTCTGATTGGCTGCCTGGACACCTCTGAGCCTCCTCCCATTGGCTGCCCCGAGGAGAGTGGGAGGAGTGCTCCCCCCCGTCCTCCCCCTGTGGCAGAGCGTGTAAATGTAAAGACTCTTTCTCTGCCTATTATCTGAGTGACTCTGGGTTTTGGTGTCTGCCTCCGAGCGTGAGTGTGTGTGTGTGTGTTGGAGGGAGAAAAGAGATAAAGAGAGAGAGAGTAAGGGAGGGAGAGGCAAGCCGCGTTTCTTCTCCCCCCTTTAGCCTCCCCGTCTCCCTGCTCCCTGTCACTCCATCCTTCCTCCCCTCTCCTGGACCACCCTCCTGCTTCCAGCCGGACCGGGACCCCCCCCCCCCTACCACCCAGACCGCCCCGGGACCCTTTGACTCTCCTCACTTCTCCGTCCCACCAACAAAAAAACCTCTAAGCAGGTAAGACTCTGCTTATTTCCTTTACAAAGTTCTTCTGCTCTTGTTGTTGTTTCTGTACACTCTCTATCCTCTCCGCTGTTCCTGTAGGTTTCAAGTTTCCCCCGCAGCTATGAGAAAGTGGCATACTGTAGTTGTAGGAGATGATATCAGCGAGGTCACCATTGTTTTCTTCTGATATTCTGCTCTGATATCAACTTCCCCCTCCTTCCTCTCGCTCTACCCCACAATCTTTTGCCATCTCATACCCTCGGGGTCTAAACATGTGCAAATTCAAAGGGAAAGCTAGTGTTTTTGTTATTTTCGTGTCCACCCCGGAGCACAAGAGACGAAGACAACCTGCTGTGTTTTGGTTACGGAAAACGCATCTCTAATTGATTTCTGGACAAAGTGTTTATGTTAGTTGGTGATGGCTATTTATAGGTGCTGACGCGCCAGGCACACGTGCTTTCCTTAGGCCACTTCCCTAATGTCAGGACAAAACACAGGACTGTCCAGCGGCTGCAGAACGCATGACATTGCACAAAGTGTAATGACTTTACGAGGCAGCGACTTGCTTGATTGAATCAAGCAATCTCGCCAGCAAGAGAACTCCGATATTAACATGCCCCATAAAGCATTCCTGGCAACAGCAATAGGAGACGGAAAAAACCTGCTTAGTTCTCCATCCGCACATCCTGTACTTTACCAGGAAGGGGAAGTGGAGTGTGTCTGGGTGTGTGCGTGCGTGCGTGCGTGCGTGTGTGTGTGTGCGTGCGTGCGTGCGTGCGTGTGTGTGTGTGTGTGTGTGTGTGCGTGTGTGTGTGTGCGTGCATGTGTGTATTTGTGAGGAAGACATAGATACTGCTAAAGTGCTTTAGACATCAATAGTGCCAGCATGGACTTTTTACAGCCACTACATCATATCTGAAAATTGGACCTTACAAGAATGTCAACAACAGAGGAAATGCTGCTCCTGCTGTGGTGATTTGTTTCTTCTGTATTTTTCTTTAGCAAAGTTGGACAAAAAATCTGATGTTTTTAATCCTTTAATATGGTTATTCACATTCTTAAATAGCCCCTCAATGCCAAAAGGTAGTTGCGAAGCTACACTTTTTTTTCTCAATTTAACCCTCCTGTTGTCTTCGGGTCAAATCTGACCGATTTACTACTTTCATCAATCATAACTTTTTTGTTTTACATTCGATTGCATTAAGGCTTTATGATATCCTTCACAGTAGACATTTGAACATATAACATTGCTGATCACCACTTTCATTGCATTTTGGATGATTTAGTCAACTTTGTAACACCCATGGTGTTCCCGGTCAAAAATGACCGCCATAAAGAAAAGGAATTAGTAACCATGCGGATCAGATAAAACACACACACACACACACACACACACACACACACACACACACACACACACAAACACACAAACACACACACACACACAGAACAATTTGACACATTTCCCGCTCTTATGTGCCCATCCCCCACATGGATCACACCTGGCACACGCAATACATGTTCAGTGTCTGTTCTTTGTATATTTACTGCAGTTGTTCATGTATACCAGTAGTCTGATACAATATGTACAGTTTGAAAGGGTGTTAAATGACATTTGGTGATGATTAATGGTTTTTGTGTTAATGTAATAGCAGTTAAAACAGGACCGCGAACACCAAAGTAAGGGGGGGAAAACGAAGGCAATAGGAGGGTTAAAAGACACAACCTCATTGCAATCAAATCACTAGGTATTCTGCTATACTGAATGAATCTACATGTGTATGTTATCATGCAATAGTATTACTTTTTTGCGTTACTTAAAAACAACTTAACAAAGTAAAAACTGACCTATTCTATCATATCATTCCTTTTTTAATGTGACAAGCATCTTGGGAATGAGGGTCTTCCCAATAGGGCTGTCTTCAGGTGGATAGCTTTCAACTGAAATGCTTTTATTGTGAAAAAAAACTAACAGAAATCCTCCATAAAATTGTACTTAGAACATCACTTTGATTTAGCATATGTATGTTGTTTTAGATAATAAATATCCAATCCAATCCAATCCAACTTTATTACTTACTTTAAAACCTCCAGACCAAAGTGCTGTACAGAGATTTCTTTGTGTAAATATGTCAGTGAGGAGATCATTTGTGATGTTTTTGGCAGCAGTCATTATTCATGCGTTCAGGTGTTAGTTTAGTACTATAGGGTTAGTTTATTAGGACGTGTACAATTAGATGTCTTTTCTTTATGAAAAAACGTGCAGATGTGTGTCTGCCCTATCCCTAAGATGCTCCAGGCCAAATGCTGAAGACTGAAATGCTCATCCTCCACTAATTTCCGTGTACCAGATAAGAAAAGCATGTTGAAAGAAGGTCTTTCATTCTTATTAGACTCCAGGCTGCATGCAAAGTTATACTGAACAGAAACAAAATTGAGTTTTGAAATATGCATCACCAATTAAAGTTACTTGGCAGATAGATTTTAGTGTCTTACGTCAAGCACTCAGCTTTTTTTCATTAATAAGTTATTTTCATGAATGAACGGATGACGTAGGAACAATGATTTCACAGTTTTTGACCAAAGGTCTTCCCCTCTTACACAAAAAAATATGTTCTTAAAGGTTACATTTAATGTCACAAACCTTATCCATTTTCAGAAATTGAAAAATATCTTTAAAATCAGATAAAATGACAAAGTCCATGTCAATGAGAGAAGCAAAGAACAATACAGGTAAAAAGGGCTTGATTCCTTCTTCCCCACGTGAGCTGCGCAGCCATATTTAATGCACTTACTGCACGTCAACTCTTCCAGTGCAAGCGCTCATAAGAATGTATACATAAAACCACTTGTACAATGACATATTTATGAGCCTCGCTGATGTGTTTGAACACTCCTGCTCGTGCACTCCCCTGCCTTCATAAGCCCCTGCTTTAAGCCTGAAGTTGAGCTGTGTTGGGGGTGCAGGCAGTGAGTGTGGCTCACCGTGTCACAGCGCTTTTACACCTCCACGTCACATCATGCCACATGTCAGTTTGGGGGCGAAGGTGTTGTGAAGCTTTGGGAATTGATTTGAGCACAACACAAGAGTGAAGGTGTCGAAGTGGCAGCATGGGAAATGTGAGCGGACAGGCATCACTTTTCTAATGATGTCATCAAGGACAAATGCTAGGGTGAAAGTAAGGATGGCATACAGGATTTGGAAAAAATAACTGATAATGACCCGTTTCAGTGATATTGCAATTGCGGTATGGTTTGCGATAATTGAGGGTTTGACCATTTTGAACAATATTCACATTATGATTAGGAAGTATATTAAAACCATCCATTTGTGATCCTTTTGAGAGGATCCGTACCAATCAATGATTTTTTATGGGTCGGGACTTCCCCAGCAGCATCACAATACTCAGAATATTTTATAGATTTTGCTCCGATTTGTATTTTATACTAATCCATAGACATTTTTGATTCATTGTGCTGCCCTAATAGCACTCAACTCACTGGTTGATCATAATTATTCAATGCATCCTCAGTCATTATGCATGAAAACTAGGGCTGCACGATATATCGTGTCGTGACGATAATCGCGTTATGCGCATGCGCGATATTGACATCGCATTTCTTTTGCTTTATTATTATTATTTTGTTGCTTGCTACAAAAGGAAAACTTGCGCGGCTCTCATGTCAGGGGTACTTGAGTGAGTGACATGCAGGCTCTGCATGCACAGCAAACCACCAATCACAACCATTCTTGATCAGATCACAGCAGGGTAACCGAGCTAGCTCAGCTTGTTGCTCTGATAACTTAAGATCCAGAAGTCCGTGACTAAAATCCTTCATCTGGTTAAATATTGTTGAAAAAAATCCCAATTGTATAGCATTAAAGTTCAAGAAAGGATGGTTTGCGGACAAAAAACGTATTTTCTTCAATTCCTGTATTTTTTCATATCGCAATATATATCGCAGGGGAAGAAAATATCGCAATGTCAGTTTTTTCCAATATCGTGCAGCCCTAATTAATACATATCCTCTTTAAGTGCCTTCCTAAAAAATGTATTTTCAATGTGTTCCTGTCATTTGGAACAAGCGCACTACACAAAGATGGATCCATGTATCCAGTATATTCAGTAAGCCTTGCTTCCTTCCATGTAAAGCCAATGCTCTGCAAGCAGCTGGCCCTTTGTGCCTTGGCCCTTCGAGCCGTTCCGGATCTCCCGCTGGCCTGGCTCATGGGCACAGAGTGTGCCGGGGGTTGCCTGGTAGGCTCTGGCTCAATGTGAGAAAGGCCACTGAGGCTGACTGGCTGCCGTCTTGGTAGCTGTGACAGAATGATGGAGGGCGGATGGACGCAGACAAAAAAGGGGCTGCACAGGAATGACTGTGTTTGTCTGCTTGGTGACTTCTCAGCTCATATCATGGACCAACCACCCACCTTTTGACATATAGAAATGACAGGGAATGACTTTGAAGGGCAACATTACGTTTATGGCTGAAAACAAAATAGAAATGTTTTAACTGACGTGTTACGCTTAGTGTAGACCTACATTGTTGATCAATACCCTAAGATTGCAAAATGTGTCCAAACAAAACATAAATGAAACATTACAGCCTGACTTGAACACAAAATCTCTTATTATCTTAACTATACTGTAAGACAACACTCTATATGGTGGTAGAAAGACCATATATAGCATGCAAGTTATATGTTAAAGGATGATTATTTTGTATATAATATAAAAAATAAATGTATTATCTTTTTCACTTTGAGTGTAAGAACATTTGAAATTTAGAACAAAGATTAAGAAAAGCAAAAACATGGCTTTGTTTGCCATTCCACATTCGACTGACTTGATCTTTTTGATGTAATTGTCTTTATTATTCTTTCTTGCTGGATATTGTTGTTGATCATTTTTCAGATGTATTTAACATCTAGTATATTAAGTACATTTTAAACGACATACTGTATCTAAGAGAATTGTCAAATAGTTATTTAAACTGGCAGATGCTGTAGC